CTTCTCGTGCTGGCCTGCCAGCGAGGAGGCTGGGGGTGCACGGGAAGCTGGGAGGGGACATGGCCAGGACAGCTGACCCAGGCTGGCCAAAGGGATATTCCCTACCATATGACGTCATGCACAGTACATAAACTGGAGTTAGCCGGGGGGGCGGAAATCGCTGCTCAGGGACGGGCTATCGATTGCCAGGTGGTGAGCAATTGCTGTATTGGGCATCACTTGTTCTTGTACATTCCTCTGTCGGTATTATTATTGTTGTTATCATTGTTGATTTTTTCTCTCTTTCTGTCCTATTAAACTATTTTTACCTCAACCCATGAGGTTTTTTTCTCATTCTCTCCCCTGTCCCACTGAGGGAGGGGGAGTGAGTGAGCGGCTGAGTGGTGCTTGGTTGCTGGCTGGGGCTAAACCACGACACCAGTGCTTATATTTTATCCACAGGAGCAAGCAGCATTAGAAACTTGATTGCAGCTGACAGTCTCCGATTGTGCTGCTGCACGTGCTACTGTGACTTTAGTGGCAGCGAACGTTAAGAGTCAGCACTCAGCCCAAGGGCATCGGACAGGGTTTTCTGCTCTTTTTTGCTACTGTTTTATGAAGTACTGGTGAGGGGTGCTGAGGTGGGAGCCCCAGAAATGTAACTTCCCTACCCAGCCTCTGAAAAAGGAAAGCGCAAGACAAGCAGTACTGAGGTTTTCTCATTTCCTTAGGGAAAGCATCACTGCATGGGATTTTAAACTAAAACAGGACTTTTAGTTTAGACTAGATATAAGGAAGACATTTTCGATGTTGCGGGTGGTGAAACACTGGCAGAGGTTGCCCAGAGAAGTTGTTGATGCCCCGTCATTGGAGGCGTACAAGGTCAGGCTGGACAGGACTCTGAGCAACCTGATCTACTTGAAGGTGTCCCTGCCCATTGCAGGGCAGTTGGACTAGATGGCCTTTAAAGGTCCCTTCCAACCCAAACTATTCTGTGATTGTATGATTCTGTGATTGCTGTTCCACGTTAGTGTGCAACTGTTATGCTTGGAGTTGTTTGGGACAGCAAAGGGATATGACCCAGCTCCAGCAAGATTTCTGGCCCTTTCCAAGCCCACAGCCAGCCTGTCCAGCCTGTCCAGCACTCTCCACTTTACAAGGTCCTTTTTGGTCTCTGCAGGCTTTAGCCTACCACCTGTCAATGGGCCAGCTTCCATTGCCCAGAGCACGAGCAATGCATGCAGAGAGCGCACTGGTTCTGCCTTGAAGAAGCGGGTCAACCGGCCCTCACTGCCCAGCATCCCCGTCATCAGCCAGGGTGGCAGCTCCCCACACAGCTCCTCAGGTGAGTCCGCTCCGCTGCAGCCCCTGCACCAGCTCTTTCACTGCACAAGGAGCACAGACTGCCTCATTCCTCAACCACAGGTAGGATCTCAGGTGCTGAGGATTGAGAGCAAACCTGCTTTGGATTCACTCCAGCTTGGTGATACTGGAGTAGTTGGGGCTTACAGATCCATTGGGAAGCTGGGCTGAATAAAGTAGATCCTTAAGCTCTAGCTTTTGCCTGTCCTGATAGTCCAAAATAGAACACTGGTGCCGAGAGGCAGCTGTAACTGCAGGGCTGAGCTCCGGTGCAGTCTGGCAAGGTGTGCTCACTGTGCACATGTGTGTGCCACCATGACCAATTAGCCATTGACCATCTTGGCCCTCTGCCTGTGCTGCTGCCTGGCTCTCCAGCCAGCATTTCTACTATTGCAGCAAAGTTGTCTCTGCATGGAAATGAGTGACTCGGTGCAATCACGCTATTGCACCTGGAAGAGCTTAATGGCTTCTAGCCCCTCTCATGCCACTGCCTGCAACGCAAACTGGGAGCCAGCAGCGCCTCTTCTGTCACCCCAACCAAATACGGTGAAATCCCTGATGCCAGTGACAGGGATATCTGTGAAATGCAAAGTAGTCCCCATCTGAATATTTTTGATTTTGCAGTTCCCCCATCCTCCACGCTTTGTAGAACATGCAAGGTGGCATAAAAAACCTACAGAGTCCCTAGCAGTTCATCTAGATTCTCTGCAATCTTTATACTCAATACTTCAGACAGCTCAGATGTTTTCATCTACACTTTAGAAAGTGAGCTTTTGAGTGCAAGACATGACATGACATTTTTTACCTATGGTGCTTTTGATGACAAATAGGTTTCATAACAAATGCATTTGTCATCTGAATTTTCTTACACCTTGTATGTATTTATCATCAAGAGAGTGTGTTTGCCAACAATTTGCATCTATATTTACATATTTTTATTCTCAGTTCACATTTGGAAGGCTTTTTTGTCACAACTCTCTAGACTAGAAATTTCTTTTTTCCGCAAGAGGAAGCTTAGGCATTGCACAGTCTGCACACAAGTACATTTGATGACAAATAAATTTCACCTCAGCATCTTCGAAGTACAGCCAGTGGGTACCTCTGAAAGAGTAAATGTTCATAACACTTGGAAAATAGCATAATCCATAAACTACTACTTTCCCAATAGCGTGCCAAAACGTACGTGCACTCTAGAGAGCACACTGCTGCGGGAGAAAGATGGACTTCACAACTCTGTGAGAGTTATATTCCGAAGCCATTTATTGTCTTGTCTGACTCCAATATATATCATAATTTTCGTTTAGTCACTGCGCACACACTCATGATTGGTTACAACTTGTTACACCCACTATTACAATTGGCTATATACAAAATATCACGCGCTGTCCCTGCGCCTCTCACACAGTCAGGATTCGCTGCTTGCAGGTGTTCCTGTTTTCCTCGCTTCTTCTTAGTTGTTTACCACAGCTCCTTCTCCGCAAGGCCGAGCCGTGCAGATATCCAGCTGTTTACCAGCTTCTCAATGCCACAGCTCCTTCTCCTTAAGGTCGAGCCATGCAGGGTAATCCCAACACACTGTTGGGTACGTGCACTCTAGATAGCACACTGCTACCTAGAATATTTGAAGTAAATGGAAACAGAGGCACGGTCAGATTTACAGGGTCAGGTATCGCACTGTTCCCTGGTGGTTGCTCCTTGGGGATTCACCCGAGCCCTGCAGGACTCGGCTGTCCAGGCTTGGTGCTCCCTGGGGGCAGCTGGAGGTGTTTCCTCAGAAAGTTACAGGGTGCCTCTGTCCCCAGTGCTCCAGGTAACAGGGAGGTGATACAGGGTGGTATGTGCTCAGCTCAGGAGCTTAGTCCTGGGGCAGCAAGTCTTGCTGGGCAGTGCTGTCTCCCGGTGAGCACGGGCTCTGCGGCACCATGAATCTGCAAGCTGGCTGTGGTACCTATATGGACTTGGGAGCTGGCTCTGTGTGCGCGATGTTCAGGTTTACAGGAGGAGCTGGTGCCTGGCTGGGGAAGACTGGGAGATGGTTGGGCGCGGGCAAAAGCAATGAGCCACACAGCAGCAGGGAAGTGTCTGAACCAATGCCAGTTTGCATCCATATGTAGTCTTGGCTGGGAGAGTGGGTTGCAGCCTGCTTGGTGGTGGGGTGCCTTGCCCCGGGGTATGCGATGCTGATGTCTGACCCTCTCCTTACAGCAGTATCGCTGCCAGCCATTACTCTGGACTTCCTGGAGTGGGGAGAAGAGGCGGAGTGTGGGAACGTCCAGGAAGCCCGAGCCTTCCCTAACCCACAGCAGGGACTGCTCAACGCGCTCGCATGGCTCAGCAGCGATGACTGGTAAGAAAGTCCCCTGTGCACTCTTTCTCCCGCTCAGTGTAACGGTGAGTTAGAAATGTTTTTTTCTAGTGTCTCTGAGCCCAGACAGCCTCGATGTCCAAAGGGAACTAGTGAAACCACTCCAAAGCAGTCACAGCATCAAGATGTGAGAGCAGCCTTTTATTTGCCTTGGTGCGAGTCGCAGCAGGTCCATACTGTTTCCTGGCTTTGCCTTCTGCTCCATGTAGCTGCAGGTGAAATCTTCAGGGAAGAGAGAAAGTTATGGAACAAGATGATTTGCTGGCTGAAGCCAGAAGCAGGATGGAAGCGGCCTTGAGTGTAGAGATTTGGGGGCCTCTGCTCACTGGCCCAGGTGGGCCTGAGTACGGATTTATCTCTGGTCCCGCTGCTGGCAGCAGCAGCAGGACACAGGGCCTCCCTGTGGCCTCCTGCATGTGAGTCCCAGCAGTGCCTGTGGGTTCTGAGAAACGGACTGAGGCATGCTCCGTCTGTCATTTCTCCTGAAGGGCTCGTGGCACAAGATAAGGTACAAGAAAAAAAATCCCTTAGGAATCTTGCACTTCTCGAACAAAACTTTCTCCTCCTCACTGCGTACTATGGGCCAAAGATGTTTTGCTGATAATCACAGTGTGTCCTGAAAGTAGACACAGACAGGAGGAGACTCTACAAATTCCAGGTGATATTGGTTGTCTTTTTGATTTCCGAGTCAGCGTACATTCACTAGGGCTCCATCCACACTGGGATAACCCCGAAAAATCTTCCATGATGCATCTCATTGTGCAATGGCTTTGTTTTGCCCCTCTCCCCTTTCTCTTCCCGGTTCCTATTTGGTGCCGTGTGGGGTACAGAGAGCTGCTGCACGTGTGGGGGTTCTGGGTTACACTCAGAGATCCCGGTGGGGAGGGTCCTCAGCCTGCCCTGCAGCCCTGGGGAGCCAGTGCCTGCATCAGGTGCCTTCATGTAGCTCAGGTCCGTCACGAAGAAAGTGCTGAAAAATGCGTGGTTTTATGACTTTTAAATAACACGTTGCTGTTGTAGCTGTTATTTTAAGTAGGGACTTCCTGGAAAATGCAGCATTTCAACTGCGCTTGCCCACGTGTGGTATCTTTTAGAACATACTGCTTTGGGGTGGGGAGTTGGGAGGGAACTAGACTGCAGAATGCAAACTCAGCTATGGTGTGACAATGCAGACTCACTCCTAAACCACCCTCTGGGAATGGAAAAGAGGGAAAATGCCCCAGTAACAGCCACGCAAGACTGTATCTCAGGGGCAAGGTACAGGGAGGGTGCAAGAAACAGAACCATGGCACAAACTCCCAGCTTCTAGGAAGCAGCGACACAGGGACTTTGTGTGCCAGGGATTTCAGAAAGGCTGTCTTGTTTAATGGCCACAGCCATCTCTTTGCCTTTTGGATTTATGTCCGCTTTTGACCCCTACAGCATCCTGTGGCAGTGAGTTCCTTTATTCAATGAGAAGTACCTCCCTTTGTTTGTTTCAGCCAACACCCTGCCATTTCAGAGGGCTGCCTAGTTCTTGGTTGGTGAGAAAAATCAATCTTTTTGGCAATTGCCTTTCAGGGAGCAGAAAGCGAAGGGACTCCTCAGCATCAGACGCCTGGCTATCTGCCACTCAGAAGTTCTTCTTTGTAGACTTCATGATGTTTCCTTGGCAGTTACCAAAGAGGTAAGAACAGTGTGTTTAATTGTGTCCCATGTACAAGGTGTAGAGTGGGTATGTGCTTGTTCATTGACATATGTGCTCAGTGTCTGCCTTCACTCCTATTTTTAGACCTCATTTTTCTAATAGCTATGTCACCTCCCTATATGATCTGTCTGTACATCTAGGTATATTCACTGGTATGTAGGGCATCTGCCTCTCTCCTCTTCAAGCTAGGTGTCATTAAAATGCCATATACACATGCAGAAACCGAGACACTGACCAGGTGATTTGCCACAGCCCAAGTCTCTGCCCAAGCTGTAATTAAACACTGCAGCTTTTGCCTCCCAGCTTCATCCCTCTTCCTCCTCCTCCTCAGCATCCTGGGCATTGACTGCAGGTATTTATTTTCCAGTGTTTCCTGATGATGTTTTCTCCTTCTTCCTTTCTGTGTGCTTTTTGGTAATTTGCCCTTCCCATTGACCTGTTGGCCCTGTGCACTGATGGAGTTCTGTGCTGCAGCCACCGAGTGCTTGGAGCGGCCTGGCTGTGGGGTTTGCAGGGCAGTCGTGCACAGCTTCACTATCTCATCTCTCAGTTAGCAGAGGGGTCTCAACCTAAGCTCCTTAATAACATCTGTGGCTATATTTCCAACCTGGCACTTGTCTGTGGCCTGAACCAGCTGCCTTGTACTCTTAATACAAATTGCCAAATATATTAGATTTTCCTTTGCTTGCAGAAGACAGTAAGGCTTAGCTCATTTCCATGAAAATCAGTCCTTCTATCCAATGTTTAATGGTGTTGGAGGCTTGGATGCCCCTTGTGTTGTGGGACTCTTCAAACCTTTCTGTTGAGATATGCAGGACTCAGATTCTCCCACTCTGAGGTGAGGGTTAGGAACAACCCTTTCAGCTTAGCTCATCTGATTTTTACATCACTTTTACCGTTCTGAGGTGATTTCCTCCTATCTGACTCATGTGCAGAGACACCTTCCAGCTTTCATTTCACTCCAGTCCCAGATTTTGGTTTCACAAGCACTTCTGGCACTTATGTGGCTCATTTTTATTGAGGCACAACTAAGTCTGGCAGAAAGAACCACAGGTCCGTCCTTCAAACTATCTTTCAAATGAAGCGCATGACTCTGAGATGCTTCTTCCTTATTGTTGTGGGAGAGCCTTTTGGAAGCAGGGAACACTCCAGAGCAGCACTGAATGCTGTGAAACCCCACTGACCGCAACTGTAATTGCATGGGATGTCCAGGATCCTTGAGTACCTTGAGTCCAACAGCCAGGATTCTCCTGAGTAGACAGAGCTGCAGATGGACTCAAGGCCCTGCTGCAAATTTGTCTGTAGACTTGAGCCCATATTTGCTGTGTCCTGGTTGAGTGCTCAAACTGCCAGTGGTGCATTTTTGGACAAGAGGAAAGTGTACTTTTCCGCAATCGTGTCTTAGTGAATTGTACCTTTATAGTTTAAAAACAGCTCTTGCTTTAATTTTTTGTTTGTTTTCCATCATAGGGCCTAAAATCAAAGCAGTCGATGTTATGGGCTAAGTATCACACTGGTTCTAGGTGAAACAGTATTTTTTAGGGCTGCTGTCTCATTGAAACTGTACTGTGTAAGTGGGCCTGAGGCCAGAGAAGAAGTTGCTGTCGGAGTGACTGTGTTTCCTGTGTTTGTGGTCTTCTGCTTTTACTGTGCTCTGACGTTCCACCTGGACACAGCAAGAAGTCTTGTTGTTTCCTGGGACTTTTATCTCGGGGAACTGATCTTCTGTACAAGGTGATTCTTATGTTTCCTCTCATGACTTGCCCAGGTGAACAACCTCCGCTCGAAGATGTCTCGCTTTGCCATCGGCACACTTGGAGAGCTCTTCAGGACCATGAAGAAGCACATGGACCACGAGGTGGATGAGGTTGCTCGGGTCTTGCTCCAGAAGGTGGGGGACTCCAGCAAGTTCATTCAGAAAACAGCCAATCGATCCCTGGGGATCATGGTGGGGAGCGTGACTCCTGCACGAGCAATGACTGCTCTCATGGCTAGTGGAGTCCAGTACGTCGTTCTTCTCTTAGGCATATCCTTGACCTTAAATTGTGTGGCTAGAGGGAAGGGACAGGAGGCAGAAGGGGAATGATGGGAGGAAAGGGCCCTTTCTCCTGCATCTTCTGTGAACTCGGTGATTTGATTCTCATCTCAACCTCGCTCCCTTCCACTTGTCAGCTACTCCTGCCCTACTACAGCCTATTTGTTCTCACAGTCTGTCAACGCTGCCTAGATGTGGTGAATGATGGGGAAGTGAAAGTCCCTGCAAAGAGTGCTGATATAGCCTTGTGGCTTTGCAGGAAGAGGGACAATGGCAGTTCCAGCAGCGAGCACGCTTTGCTACTCCACAACGCTAACCACAGAGGCGCTGGCAAAAACCATGCATCGTCATTGTGACATTAACTTGAGCAATAAGGAGGCTGATTGCTGGGACATGGAGCACATGGGGCAGAAGCCGCAGGTGCAGCTCCTGAGAAGGAGGAGTCTGTCTGACTGTTGTGTCCTTAAAGCTCCACTTTCTATTCCAATTGATGCAGCATGTTAGCCTTGAGATGGTGAGTCAGTCAGTCAGTCATCACTTTACAGGCGCCTTCACAGGCCGACTCCCATGGGATAGCTGAAGCAAATGCTGCCTTAAAATATGAGTGCTGTGCCTGACAGTTTCAAATAGGCACTCTCCAGAAAGGACAACCTGGCTACAATGACTGCTATTCTTTCCTCATCTTTTAAAAAGAGTAAAACAGTCAAACGTACCTCTTTCCACGCCTCAAAGAACAAGCTGGCTGCATTGCTGGGTATTCTACAGCTTCATGCCCCATAGGGTCTTTCTCCCCATTTGTTCTTTTGAAGGGTCTGCAGATGTGGACATAAACAGGTGGAATAAGCCTCAATCCTGCTACAGCTCTGTCTGCGTAGTGGGAGCCCTCTGGTGTCTCAGCATGAATTGGCTTTCATTTCCCTCTTTCTCAGAGTTAGTTTCTGGAAGGAAATTGAGTATCAGATAGTCCAGGGAGATTGAATTCCACCCTCTTCCTTGCAGGGAGTTCCTCTGTACAGTGCCAACGTTATGTTTATCCGAGGACAGAATCTTTTACAGGTGGCTCAAATTGCAGCAAGGACACATAGAATCACAGAATTATTTAGGTGGGAGAAGAACTTTAAGACCATCAAGTGCAACCGTTAACCTAGCACTGCCAGGTCGACCACTAAGCCATGTCCCTAAGCACCACATCTACACGTCCTTTAAATACCACCAGGTACCTGGGCACCCTGTTGCAATGCTTGACAACCGTTTCGGTGAAGAAATTTTTCCCAATATCCAATTTAAATCTCCCCTGGCGCAACATGTGGCCATTTCCTCTTGTCCCATCACTTGTCACTTGGGAGAAGAGACCAACACCCACTTGCTATTGCCTTCTTTCAGGTAGTTGTAGAGAGAGATAAGGTCTCCCCTCAGCCTCCTTTTCCGCAGCCTAAACAACCTCCGTTCCCTCAGCCGCTCCTCAGAAGACCCTTGTGCTCTAGACCCTTCACCGGCTTTGTTGTCCTGCTTTGGACAAGCCTCCTTCCCCCAGCAATGACAGGGACAACACTATGACCAAGGCCTGTGCTTCTGGCCCTCTTTTCCCTCTGCGCCGGTGTGTGTTCTCTTGTGTCCAGGCACCGCAACGTCCTGGTGCGGAAGTGTGCGGCCGAACACCTCCTGACCGCAATGGAGCAAATCGGAGCTGAGAAGCTCCTGTCGGGCACGCGTGACAACACCGAGCTGCTGGTGTGCACGGTGGTGAAGCTTGCTCAGGACCGTCATCAGGACACAAGGTGAGGCTCTTCATTTCACCTCCTGAAATTAGAAAACTGTTTGATGTCTGGCTATAAATGATAAAACCAAAAAAGAGTGGAAGGTAAATATTAAGAAAGTTACTTCACCGAGGGGATAATGTTGGCTGGAAAAGTGACTGTACTGGGTAATGTGAGGTTGCCCAGCAAGGACAGTTGTCAAATTCCTGGACTGCAATATTTCTTTATTCAGATCAACTGATCTCAGATCAGTCAATCAAACAATTTGTTTGGTCTTCTGTGTGCAACGCAAAGCTGAAGCGTTGGCCGCTGTTCATCACTGAAAGATCCCAAGCATTTATTTCTGGTAAGGTTAAGACTGTCCTCGAAAACTTTGAGCTGTCTTCAAAGAATGTACTCAGTCTTTCTAAACCTCTTCTGCAGATTTAGTTGCCTCTGATAGTCGCAAATTTTTCTTTCCAATGCATGTGTAATGTTGTTGTCTGTGGCTGAACGACTTCCAAATTCTCTCTTGAAGATATCTGTAGTTTCAGAGTAGCAAAACCAAACCAAACCACCAAAATCTCCCTACTTTGGTTATTAATTTAAATTTCCATTGACACATGCTAAGAACATGAGAGCAACTAGCTGCCCATTGGCATACGTCTAGTACAGAATAAGAAATACTAAGCAGGAGGCGACTTGTCCTAGCTTCTCTGTCAGTTGAAGGAAGGCAAATTATTGTGCAATGGCAGGAAGACCCTGCAAATAAGCCTTGATGGCAAAGCAGGAGATGTGCTACGCTCGTCCCACTGGACCCTTTGATCCCACAGAAGCATAGCCACATCTGCAGAGTGAAACTGTATTTTCCTGTCGCCCCGTGTTCTCCTCTTGCCTCTTGTGTTCAGCTGGCAGCACTGTGCAGTGGCGACCAGTGGAGGTAAATATCTCTCTTTGCTGGATAGGTAACACCTTCTCATGAAGGCATTGCACATAACGAGTTTAAAATATCAGCTTATTCTATTAACACTTTTCCCTTATTTGTTCACAGGGCAGAAAAGCCAGTAATAGCCTGTACTGACTTCTCTCTTTCCTGTGTTAGGTGTTATGGGCGGAAGATGCTGAGTCTATTGATGAGTCATCGAAAATTTGATCGGTATTTGAAACAGTCTGTCCCCTCACGTGACTTGGAAGATGTTATGGCAACACTTAAGCAGAAAGTAAGTGCTTGGCAGGAGAAATGTCTCCTTTTTGCAAGTCCTGAGACTGCTAATCTGAGATTAAACATACCTAATATTTATCTATCTCATTCTTCTTTCGCTGAATCATTTTGCTTCTGGAAATGAACTGTTGATCCTCAGCCTGTTTATCCGCAGACAGCGAAGGAAGTATTATCACTAGAAATAAAGTGGGTCTATTTTGAATATGAGCCACAAACAGGAAAGGGAACTAGGAGAAAATGATTTTACTTTCAAACATAAAAACCCCCCAAGAGTACCGCCCTAATAAAGCAAGGAAGTGAGAATAGCGCTTCTGAAAGTAACGTCTCTGCAACAGACGAAGGAAGTAGTAGTGCCAAGAAAATTTCCAACTCTCCAAAAGATGCCCAAGGCAACCATAACGAGTACATATACTGTCTGTGTTCTGGGAATACTGCCCTGCTGTCGTGCAGTGGGGAGCTGGAAGAAGCTTTGAGAATTCATTGTCCCTTTTTTTTTTTCTCATTCCTCTCCATTTACATTTTAGAAAGGAATGTGCATTTGTGCAGGAGTAGGGAGAGTGATTGTGAACCAAGTCAACTCCCAACACAACATGCCAACCCCCAGAGAGCCCAGAAGTTTCCCACTATTCCCTTTGAGAAGGCTTGTTCCCTACCAGTTTGCATTATTGCCATTTGTGCTCAAGAGTAGTGAATTCAGGATTTTATACTGCTGCCCATTATGGTAGCACCTCAAACCTGCCTTGGGTTATTGAAAACAAAGAGTGGACACCAGTGTATCTCTGGCCTGTCTCCCTCTCTAAGCTGTGAAATGTTCCCCTCACCCTTTCTTGGTCATAACTTGTGTTTTCAACGAGTCATTGCCTCTTTTGTCTTCTCTAGATTGATCGGGGTTTTTTTGTATCTGTAGG